CACAAGCTTTGGCGTATCGGCGTATGACGTGTTTATGTACATTATTGATATATCTTTCGATAGCGTGCATAAACACGTCATACGCCGATACATCAAAGCTTGTGCGTTATTTACGTTTACAACTTAAGTTGTCGTAAAATGTTACGGCAGTGCTTGTGCTTAGACCCTAAGGCTGCTTTCCAGCTACGACACAAGTAGACACTGTGTAAAGCCAGCGGCACACGATGCTTGTTTTCCTGCTGGATTGCTAGCTAGGTCAGATTTTTGTCATCGGATTGGCCACGATACTGGCACTTTCAGCACCACAGCCAATACGGTGGCAAGATTCTAATCCAGCTAGCAATCCAGCAGGAAAACAAGCACCGTGTGCCACAGGCTTAACACAGTGAATCATTGCATCCTTGGGTGCGTTCCGAGTCGCGCATGAAGCGCGTAGACTGCATAGAAAGTCGTTCCGAGTTAACTATTGCGCGCTTCGAAAGCGCTTCGAGAGTACGTGATTCCCCAGATTGTACTAACCGTACTGAATTCTTAAGGTACTTTTTCATGCGCAGCACGCTGCAGCAGCAATTCGTTACTATTGGTTAAGAATTTTATGTAAGCTAGACGACGCACTTCCGGCGCAAAATACATTTTGCTGCAGTTCGTTGAAGTTGAACCGAACGAACAGCAAACAGCAAGCGGCAAAATCGAGAAAGCGTACAATATGTCCGTCGTTTCATTATGAAAATATTATTTATTGCAATAAATATTAGGAAAATAAACGAAAAATGGCTTCGGATAAGGTACGGATACATGTTCGTAAATTAGATCATTTTATACTTTATCACAAATTTGAAAAAGTAAAGTGTAAAGTATAAAATGATGTAATTTACAAACATTCGTACCTTATCCGAAGCCATTCTTCGTTTATTTTCCTAATATTTATTGCAATAAATAATATTTTCATAATGAAACGACGGACATATTGTACGCTTTCTCGATTTTGCCGCTTGCTGCTTGCTGTTCGTTCGGTTCAACCATGAAGGAAGATATAAGGAGACTCCACTCGGTCTCGCCAGTCTACAAGACATGAACCCATTTTAGGTTTCGAGTTCCGTTTCCGATTCTCGACACTCGCAGCGCTCGTGAATTTAGTAGTGCTGCGCATAATGAGTGCGAGTAAGAGAAATGATCATTTCTCTTACTCGCACTCATCAGAATCGGAAGCTGAACTCGAAACCTAAAATGGGTCCACTT